CACAACAGTAGTTACAGTACCTGGCAGAATTTGTCAACACAGATCAAAGAATCAAACTGTTCAAACACAAGAAATGCGACGATATCAAAAACACATAGAGCCATTGGTCCATAAGGGGCAGATTCTCTCTCAAATGCAAACTCCTGGATGTGTAAACATTGTGTGCCATTTACAACAGAATCATTAGAAAACCACAATATTCAAATCGACACATACATACATGAATAGCGGTGAGTTTTCCCAAAGCGGCGTATACTCTGCCTCGGATTTAGAGGTATGTTTGTCCAATGGATGCTGATTAAACATTTCACAAACATGAAACTAATCGGACGACAGCAGGCAACGCTTCTGGAGCCAACTTGAAAAATTCATGAAGCAAAAAATAGGAACAATGGAGCCAGCGAGAGGCAAATATCCATGCTTATCATCGCAACCTTTTTTCGCCAACACAAAAGCCAGGATGATGGATCCGGGAGCATTTTTCTGAAAGCTGGGTATGAGGTCAAGGTGACACGGACAAAGAGTGGAAAAAATCCACCCAAAAAACCTCTCTCCACAAAAATCAATTTAATCAACCAATACTGTTTATCAAAAGCAGGCAGGCCGTGTGCAGTAGCTCCTGAGGCAAACCCAGTCGACTGTTTGAGCAGAGGCAGAGATAAAACTGTGTAACTGAGAGGCCGCAGTAGTTTGAGTACTTGCTGAACTGAATAGCTGTATTTAAATCACACCAGCTATATTTTTAAAGACAGAACATTTTGTTGCAGGTTTGGTATAATGTAAGTTTTCACGAGATGGACGAATGTTGTAACTGGACACAGCATGATTTAAATGAACTGCTGACCTGTTCTGGACAAAGCTTTAAAGATAACAGTGTCTTCTGCATAGGCAAATATCACCTTAACTGTTAGCTTGTTGGGACTACAGTCTATGGTTGGGACTCATTTACCAATCGATTTAGACAATAAACATTTGTCCTATAGCTACTAAACCTGCCTGGAGTCAAAATAATATGTTCATACTCTGCTCGGACTATGATCCTCCTCATCAGATAAAATTATGAATGATGATTAAGAAGACAAGAGAAAACTAAAAATCTATAAGTTGCCAATAGAAACTGGTTCTGTTTGGTTTATAACTTCTTCTCTGGTGGAAAACTGAACCAGAACCAGTCCAGGATCAGTCCAGAACTAGCACCATTCTACATAGAAAGAAAGCAATTGGTAAAATTAGAATTTTAGTTATAGATAGAACTAGTAAAATTTAGATAAGAAATAACCAAAAGGTACATTCGCAGAGCATGACACATCCGGAGGAATCCAGTTTCCTTGTCTTTGACTGCTCCAGGTTTTACATGAGTGGATACAAACTATTCATTTATTATAATGACATTGGTATTTTGACAAATAAAAAATCACATCTAGCTTTAGCATAATGAAGAAGCTAGAATTAAGTATAAAATATCAGATTTTAACATACTAAGAAGTAAGTACCTCTAACTTTAGCATAATAAAGAAGAAAGCTATTCTTTTTTCAGTTACCTAAAGTCAAATTTAAGACTTTTCTGGAGTGGTCTGACTGGTTTTGGAGAAAATACAATCTTTTGGGATGTTTAGCATTTCAGTATGCATGTAAATGTGAGAAAACCAGTTTGACCAATATGAACGAGGCCAGTCCCCGAATAACCCCATCCGTCTATTGTTCTCAGAGGAGGTCCATTTCAATGTGCTTGTGATGTGAAGGATCAATACAGTGCAGATTAGAGGGAAACTGTTGAAACTATGACAGCCACATGGATGAGAGATTGAATGACTGCTATGATTAATGTCATGATTAACAACAACTTCTCCATTAGATACTGTTCATTCACCTGAGATGTTTGTGTGGTGAAATACTCAATTTAGCGCATTTTTTACAGACCAAAGTCACACCAAAGTGCTTTACAATGTTCAGAGTTCAGGTATTGTTTTCTTCACTCCACCCGGTGATGACGGAAGTGAGACGCTGAACACACAGTTGCATAAAAGCCCCCAATCAACACCATCACTCACTCATTACATTCATACACACAGTACCCTCATTTAGTCATTTAGTACTATTGCATGAGTCATATGTTCATGTGTTTTTTAGTACATCCAAGCTTACTGTGAATGTTATCTTGTTTAAGCAACGATTTTGCTAAATCATTGTAAAAAATATAAACAATACAAATATCAATGTTTGTATTCTGATGTGAGATTTCATAATGCTTTGAAGCAACTTTTGTTAAAGTTAAACTCATCATTCTATCAATGTGCAGAAGCCAGTACTTTTCCCTTGTTTTTGTCCAAGCTACATGGCACTGTGGAAGCTGCTGATTGGAGGTCTCCATGCCTCCGCTCTGTATAATACACTTGCATTCTGTTGTTCGTGTTGTTCGTGCTGTCTCTACCATTGACAATAAAACATGTCTTCTGTCTGAATGAAAGACGCGATCCCAGACTTTGTCATCTTCTTCAGGTGGTGGAAGAATGCGGGCATTGTCTGTAACATCTATCTATTTTTTTACACAAAAATGTGTTGGTTTTTTTAAGCCAAAACTGAAAAACCTCAAGAGAAACCATGCGTCTGGATCAGCACATGGACAATCTGCACAGCCCCTGACTCCAGTCAGGCTGTGAGCTGCTGAGACATGGACAAGACCATTGTCCTCTTTTGCATGGACATCATTTGGAACAAATGGATTACACAATTTGGACATCATTTGGAACAATTGGATTACACAATTTGGACATCATTTGGAACAATTGGATTTCTGAATTTGGACATAATTTGGACTGAATTGAATTGCTGAATCTGGACACTAAAGCTGAAACGTGTGATTGAAAGACACGTCACAGAAGAATTCATGGCTCGACACAAATGCAGCCTGAAGAAACCAACACGGAGAAGTGGGAGAGACTGTTTTCAAAGCAATATCTGGAACTACCATCGACTGATGAAGTTTGGTATTTTACTGAAGATTGTTGACAAGTTTTATGAAAGATCTGAACATGTTTTATGAGTTTTCTGAGTTTTTGAAGTACCGAGTTTATGAGTTTTTGAAGTATTGAGTTATGATGTTATGTTGCTGTTTATCGATCCTGATGGTCACACGTGAATGTATGACCAGAGGGGGGAATGTGAGATTTCATAATGCTGTGAAGTAACTTTTGTTAAAGTTAAACTCATCATTCTACCAATGTGCAGAAGCCAGTACTTTTACATTTGATGTTTTGTCTATCTGAAGGCCAAGCTACAGGCACACTGTGGCAGCTGCTGATTGTAGGACTTCATTCTCCCATGCTATATTATCACTAACAGTTTGTCACATCCTTTGTTCGTGTTGTTCGTGCTGTCTCTACCATTGACAATAAAACATGTCTTCTGTCTGAATGAAAGACACGATCCCAGACTTGGCACATCTTCTTCACTGAGTACAGTGAAATCCACTCGTTAAAAATATGAGGTGCTGAACATAGTAGACTTTGGATATTTCATGACACTTTGAAGCGACTATGGTTAAAGTTCTAAAAAAAAAAAAAAAAAAAAAAAAAATTCTAACTCTTTATTCTTACATATGCAGAAGCCAGTACTTTGTAACATCCTTTGCTCGTGCTCTTGTTCGTGCTCTAACATCAACAATAAAACATGTCTTCTGTCTGAATTAGAGACACAATCCCAGACTTTGTCATCTTCTTCAAGACTCTAAAAACACATTGTAAAAATACCTCTCTAATTGGTTAAGCATTTTTCTTCACACATTTACCAATCTGTGCCCCAAACAATTACATTGGTTATAATGGTTGGCTTGACCAATATATCTCATTGGTTGGATTTCTACTAAAATAGGTTGGTGTAAAACGCTATCATTGTATCTATTGTATTCATTCATCATTGTATTCATCAACAAGTCATATTCTAAGTTAAGCAGGACAGGACCTGGTTAGTACTACGATTGGAGACAGGCCAAAGCAGCTAATACAAATGTTGTTGTGACCTTAGACAAAACATCTGACTTACACTGCCTTGTATGAGGCTGGTGTGTGGCTGCAACAGTTGTTTATGAATGCAATAAATGAATAATGCATTATGAAGGATACAAATATATGATTGTTAGAACAACCAGAATGATCAGTTTTTATGTATGATGATACCACTTTTATATTTAAGTGTTGTTCCTACCTTGTATTATCTTAGAGAATAAACTGTTATTAATATTGTGGCATCATGAAAGTTGAAAAAGTACACAATAGAAAGAAAAGCATTTACAGTTCATACAACTCCTGGTCTTCCACACTAACGTAATTAATTAGTAATTATTCATTGCCCCTTGAGAAAGGTCTTCACAAAACTTCTCCTTAAGTAATGGGCCATATTCTTCAGTGATGAATAGGTCAGATACCCCCCCTCCCCCTGTCATGTGGGTGGGGCTTTATGCAAATCCCTCATCTCGTTGGCTGCTGCTTCCCCAGGTGAAACTTGTGTATAAGTACAGGCCCAGTGTCTCTCTGATGTTACAGTGACATCTCACAGTGAAAATGGCAGAGAAAGGAGTTCGCCTGGACCAAGACACCTTCAGCTGCTCCATCTGTCTGGGTCTATTGAAGAACCCTGTAACTATTCCCTGCGGACACAGCTACTGTATGAGCTGTGTGGACACTCACTGGAATGAAGAGGTGGGAAAGCAGAGCTACAGCTGCCCCCAGTGCAGAGGGGTCTTCTTCTGGAGGCCTCCACTGATGAAGAACACCTTACTGGCTTCATTGGTGGAGGAGGTGGGAAGACGCACTGCTGAGTCCACTGAGAACCTCCAGGACAGCATGTGCCCTCAACACGATGAGGTCATGAAGATGTTCTGCCGCACTGATCAGCAGTGTATCTGTTACCTCTGCTCTGTGGATGAACACGGAGGACATGACACAGTGATGACTGCAAGCCTTATACTGGAAAAGAAAAAAGAACTCGAGAAGAACATTCAGATGATCCATGAAAGAATTCAAGAAAGACAGAAACAACTGGATTTGCTGCAATGCCAGGCAGGCACTGTCATTTGTTGTGCTAACACGGCTGTGGACGAGACAGACACTGTTTTCACATTGATCTCTCGTCTGTTGGAGAGAACCAAGGCACAAGCAAAGGAACATATAAGATCTCAGCAGGAGGCTGAGGAGCACAGACTCAAAGAGCTTCAGAACAAAGTGCAAGAGGACATCACCACACTGAAGACCAAGTGCTACAAACTGGAGAAGCTCTCACAGTGTGAGGACCTTGGCTCCATTCTCATTTTTCCATCATTGTCTGAAGTTGAGGAAGCTCCTGAGCTTTCCATCAGTGAGGCAACACCCCCAACATTCATAGATCTGGTTGTAAATGCAGTGGCTGATTTCCGAGACAAGCTGCAGAACACTGATGCTCTGAGTCGAGCTGCAGATGAAGAGGACCCAAAGCTCTCTGCTGTTGCCTGGACGACGCCCCCACAGATGAATGAGCAGGAGCAGGCTATGCAGGCTTACCAGCAGCAGCTGCAGGCCATGGCGGCTGAGACATGGCTCAACCTTCAGAATGTGAGGACTCTGAGAGCGGAGCTCTTGTACTACGCCCAGAAGGTCACACTGGACCCAAACACAGCCCACTCTCAGCTGGCTTTAAGCGCAGACAACAGCACTGTGCGCTTCATGAGCTCGCCACAGCAGTATCCAGACCACCCTGAGCGCTTCACTCACTTTACTCAGGTTTTGACCAAAGAGGTCCTGACGGGCCGCTGCTACATGGAGATCAAGGTCAGAAGTGAGGAATACTTTACTGTTGCTGTGGTCAACAAGGACATTAGAAGAGAAGGAGCGACTGATGAGTGCGGCTTAGGCAGCAACACTAACTCTTGGTCAGTAGATTGCTTTGTTGATGGCTTTATGTTTTGGCACAACAAGAGCAGTCTGTATATTAGTGGCAGACCTTCAAACACAATCGGGATCTACGTGGATGTGGAGGCTGGAGTCGTGTGCTTCTACAGCGTGGGTCGAGAAGTCGCTTTGATCCACACCATTAACACTAGATTCACTCGGCCGCAGCTGGCAGCGATCTGGCTGAAGGAGGCCGCTGACTGTGCAGAGATCTGCAATATCACTCCACACTAGGAACACACCAGGAACACACCAGGAGTGCACCAGTAACACACCAGGAACACAAGGGACTTTATTTACACTTGTTTTTAACTTATGAAGAATCAAGAAGAATGTTTTGCTTCACAAAAAATACAAATGTTACTTAATTAATTTAATTAATTTTAACCTTTTCAACACAACTGTGCACAGATTAAATCAAATAGATGCTGTATTGAAAATCCTGATAAAATATACTTCTTATTCTGACATATGGTTGTCATGTTTTTCTTGACCTTCAGGTAATCCAGGGGTAAAACATGTTCAAGCTGAAGACATGAAGGATCATGTGTATGGATAGTTTTTATTAACACATTTCAGCTAAGAATGTTTGCGTCTTCACACTGATATGTTTGATGCACGATTCACAGAGAGCTTCTTACGAATCCACTCATTTCAGAACAAAACAAACAAATGCATTCATTCAATCTACAGATCTGCACTCTGGCATCAAACCCTCAGATCACCCACTTATGAGAGGTCCTTTGTCCACACTTGTCTACCAATATTCCCGATATTGCCATGAGACAAGTTTCCCATGTTTCGGAAGTGAACCAAAAATTACTGTTATTACCAACACAAATAACCATCTTCAAATACTATGAAACATTTAAATGGTGCACAAATACTGTTCTAAAAGTTGTGCAAAAAGTATGAAACAACTTTGTGGATATTGAAAGTGATTGAAGGCGGTGTGCAGCGTATTTGCTGTACACTAGTGAAACTCTGAAAAAAATTAGAATACTGTTTAAAACTCAATTTTGCTTATAACATTTTGACAGAAAAAGGGTACTGCAGGATTGCTGATGCAGTTGTCTGAGTTTTCCAGGGGGAATAATAGCAAAACAGCATTAAAAATGGATGGACGGCTCAACTAACTTTTCTAAACATGTCAGTATTCAAACTGTTTTAAATCACTGCTGGCCAGTGGTCGCTGCATCACTGGAGGCAGGTGATGGACTGAGACTGGGTCCCCAGAAGACTTCATGCACTATCTATCTTTAAGACAAATATGTCTCTGGATGGAAGCCCATATCACCTGAAGCCAAAGTTATTTATAGGTATGACGCACGTTACAGATGACCTGTTGTCCACTGTGTGTTCAGCAATGTGAAAGATCAACCAGTGACTTAGAATATACAGTATTTTATACCTGCTTCTTAATCATCCCAAAGGTAGACATTTTTATACTTCTTTATCATGCTAAAGACACAAATGTTGTATTTCATTCTTGCTTCTTCATTAAAGCTGGGGATTACTTCCTCATTATGCTAAAGATAGATGTTTTATTTAATAGAGTTTATTATAGACATAGAGCTAATTCATTCAATCATTTTCAACCCCTTTATTAGTCCATTTCCGGGTCGGGGGGGTGACAATGAGAGCAGCCACCCAATGCTCAAAACACCAGTCCCTCGCTGATCCTCTGCAGGTGATGAAGGTGATGCAGCAGCCACAGGAAGACAGCTGCTACATCAGTGGTGCCACAGCCTTCGTGTTTCAGTGGAAGCTTCAGGCAATGTGGGGTTAAGTGTCTTGCCCGAAGACACAACGACAGCAGACACTAGTGGGAGCAGTTGGTCCTGTGATGGGCTCGAACCCACGACCTTCCGGCCCGAAGGCCAATGCTCTACCGACTGAGCCACTATAGAGTCAGTGTTGCATCACTGTAACTGGTGATGCAACACTGACATTCCCCCTCTGTGGGACGAATAAAGTATCTCTTAAATCTCTTACGAAGGAAAATGATTTAAGATAATTTAGAAAAGCTACACTTCATAGAGAGTGATTATATCTATGTTTAAGTCGGCCGATCCCAGTTTTCCCCTCTGTGGTTAGTTGGCTGATTTATTCAGTCAATTAATTGATCAATTGTTTAGATCCCGAAATGTCAGTTATATCGAACGTTTCCTACATTTGACCAAGACAAAGCTCATTTTCGTAGAGATGACTTGTTACACATTGATTTGTTTGATAACATTTTATATTTTCATCTTTCATCTCATGCCGCGTAGGTCTATCATTGCTAAATTATGTTAGCCCGAGAGAAAGACAAATATATTAGGTCAAATATTCCAGTGCACCTGTAGTAATACCCTTGATCCAAATACCGTAAATGCGTCAAAGTAATTACCACTTCCTTATCAATGATCCAATGGCTGGTGTTATGGCCGCCATGACAAATAAAGCCCCCCTTTAGCAGTAAAGAGATTTGACACTCCCCACTGTTACGACCCGAAGGACAAAACATATTTAAGGACACCGAGACAGGGTAAGAGTTCCAAAATAGATTTTATTTACGTATTCCCAAATGAACTCTTGTTTTAATATAAATCCAATTTATGGATTAACCCAAAAAAACCCAAAGTAATCAAATTAAAGGTGGACCTGGTGGGCCAGCCGAAACAAACAAAATGGGCCGACACCGAACCAACCCTATACAGGGCCGTCCGGATCCGATGCCGACACCCTAACTAAAGAATAAAGAAAAAACCCAACTAGCTACACCCTCACACACGAAAATGTAACCACCGGACCCACCAGATCAAACAAAAACTAAACTACCGAAAGGCTACAAAACAACCAAACCATGCGGCGTCTGGAGAAGGCCGCAAGCCGGACCAGGAGGGAGCGCGCAGCGCGGGCACGCTCACCTCAGCAGGTGGAACAAACGAGGATGAGAGCAGAGAGGGGCGGGAGTGCACCAGGACAGCGCCTTTTATATCCCGGCCCGAGCTGCAAAATAAACAAAACACGTTACTCATAAGTCTATCAAAAAGTTACCTTACAAAATATACTTATAAGAAAACAAAACCCAAAAATCCCTGGAAACAAAAAAGACAAGATATAAAACCATGGGGAAAAAGGTGCCCAAACATAACACCCACAATGAAAGCTTTTTTGTGCTTGTTTGGAGACCTCTGGGAAAACCAGCTTGCTCCTGGACCTCCTCTCCTTACTGTCCATATCTCTGACCAGTTCCTTAAGGTGGATCTCAACAGGAGGTCAGCCATCAGGTAAAATAAGGACCACGAATATTAAAAAATACCTATTCTTTTGTGAATTTTTAATATTGCCATTGTAAAATGAATGTGATTAAGATTAAGAGATCCTTTATTCATCTCACAGCAGGGAAATTTCAGTGTTGCATCACAAGTTTTAGAACAGTAAAGGGGAGCACACGGCACAAGTAAAGGGAACAATAGCTATTCTAAATAAAATAAAACATAATCTCTAACTCTAACATCAATAACAAGTATAAAAACTAAATCTTGAAATAATAATTCAAAAATAAATAAAAGAAGTGTAAAGGTTTTACATTTGGCAAAATAATATTTTGCATGCATTTATGAATGGGGGCCCAACTACAAGTGCAGGTTAACCACATCCACGGACGAGGGAGTGCAGCCAGGTCCACTCCTTTAAGAGGTTTGACACGACTAGAACCAGCCATAGTGACCATAAAAAAAGTATAATTGACATCCCTATTCTATTATTAGACCCAGTCAACTTAATGTATAATGATAAAGATAATTATATGAAAAATGTCTGGGGCAATATTTAATTTCAATGCCATTATATATAGGAGCCCCCGAGCCTTTTGGTGATCTTAAGCTGGGGGACCGCTGCTACAGTATAGACACACAGACGATATATTAATGTCTCGTCCTGAAGGCAATCCTGAAATAATTTAGTAAATGAATAAGAGTAGTTTGAAGAAGTGAACTTATTTGCGTCCTTATAGATGAAAGTTAACACTTCACATTATGTTTTGATCGTTCATGCAGTCTCTGGTTTTAGACTGTACCTTTATAATGAACAGCAGAAACAGGGATTTGAGTGGCAGCTAATAGACGGCCTGCATTAACAAGTGACTCACTGAACGCAGCCAATTTCAAGGAGTAAAGAGTCAGTCAGAGTGGGGGCGCGGGAGGTTAAAAGCATTTCTAATTTGCGAATGTTGAGATATGCACACATTCTGGGAAACTAATGGCTTTGATAAAGAAAAGTCAGCACTTTTCAAATAGTTGAACACCGTTGCATTGGGAGTAATTGCACTTTAATTGAAGTGATTAGAGAGCGCAGACTGCCTTTTGGTTTTGAAGAGGAGAAGTTTTAACAAAATGTAATGAGTCATGGAACAACCACTCAGGGAAGTAATGTCCCTAATGCCCCCTATTTGTCAATTGAACAACAGGGATCAAAAACACGAAAGATGTCATTGCTGTCACGCAGATTGCATTCATAACCAACTAAAGCAGAAATGAGCCTGTTGTAAATTAATGTTTTATTTAATGAATGATAATGTGCGTAATGCGGCGTGTATTGCATAAATGATGATGATGAACAATTAGGTGGTAACTAAAGCAGGACTTTAAGTCGCAATTTGCTCTTTAGACTTTGGGCTCCTTTGGCCAATGCAGGCACACAGACAGACAAAAAAACACACACACACACACACACACACACAAACCCATGCGCAGACCTACAGATAGACACACACAGACAGACAGACAGACACACACACACATGCAGACAGACAACTCACAGACAGACACACACCCAAACACAAAGTAGAACAAGCTCACAAAAAAGTTTACAACCCTGACCTTTTCCAAGTTCCAGCGATTCTATCTTCACCAAACAAACACATCCAATCAGCTTTCAGCATTTCTCCATTATAAATATCATGACCCACTGCATTATGGGGAATGTAGTGTAGTTCACACACTCTGTAGTCTATCAAGGTGAACTGAGGCAGCTTTTTCTCGACTTCACCGCTTGCTCTCACGCCAGAAGGCAGACAGATCCCGAGACGCTATCTAAAGCAATCTCCAAAGTCTTAGGATTTCAACAGTATTTAGTGAAAAGGGTAATTTCTTTTGGTGTACCATTTTGTGGTGCCCATTTATTTTTATTAGATGGACTTTAATCTTGAATCTGTGATCTAAGCTGTGATCACCGCAGGCTCCTAA